AATATCTTTAGAAGATGTAATCTTCTGCGAGAGGAATTATCCTGCTCAGTCCCTTAAACTTTTAAAAAACGACTTAATTTATTAAGCAAATCACCAAAAAGAAGTCGATACACTGCTGAGTTTAAGCAATTTGCATTAAGTATTTATTTTCTAGGGCCAATAGCCTACAAAAAATTGTCAATTTCATTGGATTGCCTTCAAAATCCACATTGAACCGATTTACAAAACTATGGACTGTTGATTCTGGATTTAATGAATTTGTTTTTCGTGTTATTGAACAACGGGTTTGTTTATTAAAAGATAAAGAAAAGGTTTGTCTTTTGTTGTTGATGAAATATCTTTGAAATCGCATCTATTTTATAATGTTTTTAAAGACAAAATAATTGGTTCTGAAGCCACCCCCAAGAAATATACCACGGAAATTGCCACTTATGCTTTAGTTGTCATGGTTAGATGAATAGGGAGTAACTAGAAACAGCCATCCGCTCCATCATCAGACCTTAAAACTATAATTTTTGAATGGATGAGAAAGTTAACTGAAATAAACTTAAACATGGTTGGAATCACTTCAGATCAAGGCTCGAATTTTTTTAAATTGGTAAAACATGATTTAAACCTAACAGAAGAAAGCCCATTTTTTTTTCGTTGACCATGTCAAACTTGTATATATATATATTTGATGTGCCACATTTGATCAAGTCAACAAGAAACAATTTCTTTTCTTAAATCTTTAAACTTGCTGACTCTGAAACAAAAAAATGTTATCTAGAGGTAATGTACAAGACGGATAAAATTAAACAATTTAAACTCGCTCCAAGACTAACCAACGATATGTACCCAAATAATTTTCAGAAAATGAAAGTTAAATTGGCAACGCAAGTTTTTAGTCATTCAGTAGCAGTGGCCATGCACATATATATTAATTTTCAAGTACTACCAAAGGAAGCTATAGGAACTGCAAATTTCATTCTGAAAATGAATGCCTTTTTTAATTTTTTAAATTCAAATAGTTTAGAACGATTTCAAGCATTTATGGCAACAGAGACTCAAGTTAATCTTTTGAGAGAAATGGACAATTTTTTTAAAAATTTACGTGTTTTAACTACGACAGGAAAAGATGTAACAAAACAGATGAAATTTATCTTCGGATGGACATTAAGTATAAATTCTATTTTCGTTTTATGGGACATGCTAAAGGAAAAGGGGTATAAATATCTTTTCATCCGTAATTTAAATCAAGACTGTATTGAAAATGTTTTTGGTCAAGTTAGAAACTCTTGCGGGAATATTAAAAATCCCACTCCAATCCAGTTTTGTAGGGCGTTTAAAAAAATATTTGCGCTTAGACATATTGTTCAAACTGAAGCGGCCAACTGCATTGTTGGTATCAGTGAAGTACTTGTACATTTACTATTCAGAGTGTTATTTTCTATCAAATAACGTAAAAAAATACCGGGGTTGCCATTTAAAAATCAAAAGTCGTACTCATTTCTGGTGAAACAGGAAGTGACCGAAAACAATTAAATACGTCAATCAATCCAAATTAATGTCATATACTAACATACCAAATCTCGTTTTTTTTATCTAAAAAAAAATTAAAAAGTTATAGTTAGGGGTGAATCACTTTTGAGACGCACCCGGTAGGTAAGTAGAACAATAAAAATATAACTATTAGAATATTAAAATTAAATAATGGCTAAAATGAAAAGCACACATTTTACCAAAATATTTTAGCTAAGCTAAAATAAATATAATAAACGTGGATGAAATCTCATTTGGTTTATTTCCTTGTGCTCATAATAGGGTTCGCGACGAAGAATCCGAGTTATCCGTTAGTAAACTTGAGCGGATATCTTTTTATACCGGAGTTAGCGTATCGGCTATAAAAAGATTCACACAGAGGAAAAAAAAAGGCTGGAAAGGCCAAACCAAACCCTGATAAAATGTTATCCAGCCCTAGAAAGAAAGGACCACGTGCGACTGCCGTTGAAAAGCTCGATGACTTTGATTTCCAAGTGGTCAGGAATTTGATAAATAGATTTTATCTCGAATTCAAAGTCGTCCCCACAATTAGAAAGCTTTTTTTTGCAAAAATTGCAGGAAAAATCGAATTTTCCTTTTGGCGGAGAAACGCTTAAGGGGTTATTAAAATAACTACACTAACAAAGCTAACTATATTTAGCAAATCACTAGTCAAAATGTAAATCCATAGCATAAAGTTTTTTGAAAAAAATATTAATCTGAATATTATATTCATGATACACATTATTTTTATAAAACACCGTACGCCCATGACAATTTTATGAATAAAATTGGGCGTGTTTTGGTTACAACTGCGTTCCCCTGCCGATAGCCCGCAGTTTCAGATCCGTTGGTTACACTATAGGACAGGACCTCAGTGATATTCAAAATACAAGAAACGTATTAATATCTTCATCTCCTCCCAAAAAAAGTATTAATATTCTCATCTCCCCCCTCAAAGTATTTACGACCGATTACGCAAATCTAAAAAGCCCTGAGGGAAATAGTTTATTGTATGTTGCCGGTTATATTTAAAAAAAATGTTTGTTACAGCATTCCTGTCATACGTGTACTAATTTTCAAGATTCAAATAGTTTAATTAATGACGAAACAATATTTTGTAGGCTTAAGGCATACAACACCAACGATACCCCGTTTGGTGGTTTAACTATGCCTAATAAAGATATTGTCGATGCTATTTTGAATATGGAGCATATTTTTTATAAACCCTAGAGCAGTCGCGCCACGGTTTATGTGACCGGGTGGCGCGAAATAGTAAATATTTTTGACCATAGAGGGCAGCCGCATCTGTGCTTACGCAAGTCTGCTTGACTTGGGACAAATATTTGTTAGTATCATTCGCGTCGTCATATAATAGAATGGGATCTTGGCTAAGGGAACGTAACACCGTCTCTCACACCAGGGCGATTAAACTGATGCACGGTCTGTGATTCCAGTGCGACTAACGGTGGTAGATTTTTATTAAAACTGAGGGTAAGTATTTAGCTATTACATGCAAAAAATACATATGTGCATTGTATTAAATAAAAATTAAGTATCTAAATATAGTTTAACTTTGAAAAATTGTAATAGAAACTATTTAAAACTTATATCATATCGCGTAATTATACATTACTCTGGGTAAAACAAAAAATATTATGTTTAGTTTTATTCACTTTAGACATGGATTCTTATGAAAAACAGCAGGAAAGGTTGCAAAAATTAATGCAGGAAGTATTGGATGAGCAACCTTTACTAGTAAATTACCAAGACCCAGATCTTGCTGAGGATGAATCCTATCAAGGGGAGATAAATTATGAGATGAGTGAAGAACACCACATCGACCTTGTAATGTGATGAGGATGTGAGTGATTCAGAGGAGTCTTATTAGCTCAGCACAAATTTATCATCTATTGGTAAGGCTGCGTACGCTGCGTATATATTACTATATGAATTCCTTTATTTTAAATTGTTTTGTTTTTTAGGTAAGGACAGAAAAACATATTGGCGAAAACATAATTATGAATATTCGGGTAGGAAGACTCGAAAAGAGAATATAGTAAAGCGGCTTCCTGGATCTACTGGCGCTACGCCTTCTCTAACATCTTCTGTTGGAATATGGAATTATTTTATAAATGACGAAATAATTAGTATTATTGTTAACTCTACAAATGCATATATTGAGTCAAAGACAGCTTTTCACGCCCAAGGGATGCGAATATCACGACAACTACAGAAATAAAAGCATTAATTGGATTGCTTTATTTAGCAGGTGTTTATAAAGCAAATCGCATGAATGCTGAAGACTTGTGGCAGACAGATGGGTCTGGGGTAGAAATATTTCGGTTGACAATGTCGTTGCAGAAGTTCAGATTCTTATTACGATGCCTAAGATTCGATGATCAGGAAAAAAGGCAGGAACGAAGATTAACAGCTAACTGACAAATTAGCTGCAATTCGCAACGTCATTAAACTATTCACAAAACAATGTGAAACTGCATGCCACATATCATCCTATGCAACCATAGATGAAATGCTTCCATGATTTAGGGGCAAGGGCACGTTTCGAATTTATATTCCTTCTAAGCCTAATAAATACGACATTAAATAAAATATTTGCTTTGTGTGATGCAAAATTATATTATGTTTCAAAAATTGAGGTTTATGCTGGCCAACAACCAGAAGGTCTGTACAAGTTATCAAATTCGCCGACTGATGTAGTATTGCGACTTTGTGAGCACATAAAAGGTCAGTGGCGACTCGTGGGTATAAAATTAGGTGAAGAGTTAATTTTTTAAATTGCGCATTAAAATTTTTTGGCGCATTCACCATTATTTCAACATTTTTTTTGTTATTATTTATACACTAATATCTATAATATTTTCGTTTTAGTTTGGGCTAAAACACATAAGTAAAAAGAGATACAACCAGTTTTCGATAAACACATTATTTTGCATTCCAGTTAAAATATAATTAAATATAATAAACATTATATACCTGCCAGGGTAGTCGCCCTGGGGCAAAGTGGGGAACATTTATTTGGTGCCCCACTATGCCCCATATTTACTTTATTGAGTTTGTTTATCGGCAGGCTTTCTTTATTTATAGCACGATGGTTCGGACATTCAAGCGAAAAACAGAACAGCATTTTTGGTCATTAGATTCGATGAAGAAAGCCGTCCAGGCTTATGTCTCCGGAGAAATGGGATACAAAAGGCAGCGCAAGAATACAATGTGCCACAAACTACACTCGAACGGTATGTTTTAAAGGACAGGGGCAATTCCGACGAAACGATAACAAAAAAATTAGGCCATTACGTAACTGTGTTTACCGCAGAGCAAGGAACTGAATTACTTGAATACATATTAAATTAATGGATGCATGATTTTACGACCTAATATCTACGAAACTTCGAACAACTGCTTTTGAGCTAGCGGAGAGAAATAAAATTAGTCATGCTTTTAACAAAACGCATAGAATGGCGGGGGCAGACTGGCTAAAGGGTTTTTTAAAAAGGCATCCGGATATAACCTATAGAAAGCCGGAAGCAACGTCTGCGACTAGGGCCATGGGGTTTAACAGAGTTGCAGTTGGTAATTTTTTTAATCTACTAGAAGCAGCTATTGATGAGTATAAAATTACGCCACAGTGCACTTACAACGTTGACGAAACCGGCGTATCGACAGTTTCCAAAAGTCATTCAAAAATTTTAGCCCTAACTGGTAAACGGCAGGTCGGAACTCTAACATCTGCGAAAAGAGGCAAATTAATGACGACGATTGTCTTCTTCAGTGCTGCCGGAAATTATATGCCGTCTATGTTTATATTTCTCCGGAAGCAGATGAAACCCGAATTAATGGATGGAGCACCGGTGGGTTCTTGGGGGAATGTCATGAATCTGGATGGATACAAGGTCATTTGTTCGTATTGTGGTTAAAAGGATTTATAGAATGGCCACACGTAACAAAAAAAGACCCGGTACTTTTATTGCTTGATGGGCATGCTAAGCATTTTAAAAGTATCGAAGTTATTGAATTAGCCCACGAAAATGGTGTGGTTCTGTTATGTTTCCCCCCACGCTGCACAAGCCTTTGAGCACCTACTATAGCAATGAAGTCAAGAAATGGTTGCGAGCCCATCCAGGGCGAGTGGTGACCCAGTTTCAGACTGCTGGATTATTTGGACAAGCATTTATTGCTGCTGCCACAATGACAACTGCTCTAAATTCCTTTAGATCTACAGGAATTTGGCCTCTGGAACCAAACATCTTCACGGATGCAGATTTCGCCCCGGCTGAAACGACCAATAATCCAGAAAATCCAATGGATGCGGTTCAGTCAAACCAAAAGACTCCTGAACCGGCTACGGCTCTTCGACCAAACTCTCTGCAACCTGGATGCTCAAACATAAATAACAGTAAGCTAAGAGAAAAGCAGAAATGCACTAATATGATAACTCCATTAGTTTTAGTCACTCAAAATAGCAAGATTCTTGACTAGTTTACGAACTAAAATCCTTGCAATTTAAGAGTGAGATTATGCCTATATATTCTTGATGTTGAAAGCCTTACTTATGTTGCTATGTTTGTACGCGTATTTATGTGATTTTGTCAACTTAAGGTAGTAGTCGACATAAAACATTAGTTTTCAATTTAGTAGTTGTTTATAATAATTTTAGTATTTCCAATGCACTTATTTATTCAACGGCAATGTACTTGTCTATTCATATTGAAATTATGCAATAAAATAAATCCAAATCCTAAAAGTATTTATAGGTTAAAAACTCTTATTATTATACTCTCTCACTTATTTTATTTTGTCTGTATAAACGCAACTACAATGTTCGATATAACCAACTTAATCTTATATTATTTTCTACTATTCTCATTTTATCTTATTTTATTCCTTTGACTGTTTTGAACCTACCTTTTCAGTAATTATGTCTGTGGTTATGTATTATGCGGCTTTACGCTATATATTTCGTTATGTACTATACAGTTTGTGTTTAAAATATGTTAAAAGTTATTTTTTATAAATAGATTTTTTAAATGAAAATTAAATTTATGATTTTATCATATTTTCCTATCCTGCAACCAAATCAAACACTGTACATTAACAAACAAAAACAATTAAAATAAATTTTTAAACTATCTGATAAGTATGTAAACTAGCAGCTATTTTAGTAAACTGAGGTAATATTCCAATCCTAACCAGATTTTGTAAATAGGTTGCATACTAACCAGTTAAAATATAAACTAGCTGCGGTTGTCTGCTATTTTGCAAGAATAGGCGGACTTTTTCAAAATAACAGCGCTTTTAGTTAGTTTGCAAAAAAGCTGGCTAGTTTTAAAACTAGCCAAGTATCCATTTTAGCTGTAACATATACAATAAATATGTATTGGTTTTGTATAAATTTGTCATTGTTCCGTTAATATATTTTTTTAGAAAACATAGTCGATATTTCTCTAATAAACAACAAAAATGTATTCAAGGAATGTTAGGTAAGAGCATATTATTATACAAAATATACAAAAAAAAATAAAAAAAAATACAAAAATAGTAGATAGTAAAACATCTAGTAGTAGTAGCTTGTAAAGTATTTATTGTGAATATATTTTTTCTTGTTTTTGTTAAGTATTCGGTTAAGCAATAGTTAAAAAAATCTTGAAATTTTTTTGCAGTAGGTACCTACTTCACAATATAAAGGTGCCATTACACGGCGCGTGGAGCGCCGTGCCTGAACCCAGGATTGCCAGATTGGACGACTTATCGCAAATTGGGTACTTTAAAAATAATTTTGGGACACATTTTATCTTTCTGCGACTAGTCGCAGATTGGGCGATTCTCAAAATTTTTCTGAGATTTTTTGGGCTAAAAAGGAAATATACTTTAGGTTGGCTTCTCCTTCGAAAGTTGAAATGGCCCATTGTTGCTTGTGGCAACGGCATAATTGGCCAAACATGCCGACAAAGTACAAACTTCAACACCGAGACCTGCCGAGATGTATGTCGATGAATGACGCGGAAATTTCACGCCGGCGCCGGCGCCGGTTCGATGTTCGAGGCCGGATGAGATCGCATATCTCGTGAATAAGAGTCACCGAGGCCCGCAGTTCGGATTCCGCGTAAACAAAGTAGGCCGTAGGACCCGTCCAGATTAGCCCTGGTAGCAAAAAGGAGACGTTAATTTGAATTTGAAACCTTAACTTACAACTTACTTAAGATGAGAGCAGAGACAACAGTTACTTTTAGTTTTGAAAATAATAAAATAAATAATACAGAATAATCGAATTTGTTTTTCGTGATTGTGTTTGTATTGTAGAATGGGGAAATGGGCAGCATATGAAAAAAAGTATAAGAGCTCGGGAAAACGTTTTCTCACTAACAACCTCATACAAATTATTCTAATAGGTTATTATTCTAATGTTTGCCTATAACGAACCTACTTTTTGCGAACTGTGTCATAACGAACCATTTTTGTCAATCCCTTGTGGTTCATTATTAGCGGATATTAGGTACTATACATTTATGTAGGTAATATATGTATCATGATAATATGGATTTATTTAATGAAATAATTATTCTACTTTTTATGTTTTTTAGTTGTCCACACTCAGCTTTCAAAAGAGGAGAAAAATAGGGACCTAAGATTAGCAGCCTACGTAGCTGTTCATAGTTCAATACAAACTGTTGATTATCTAGGGGAATTGTTATCAGACTTTGCCAAAGGGAGCCCATTGGAGAATTTGAAATTACACAGGACTAAGTGTTCAAAACTCATCCTTAAAGTTATTTCTCCTGCAATTCTTGAAGAAATAATAAATGATATTGGATACAGTGGCTATTCCATCATTCTTGATGAGTCAACTGACGTTTCAGTTGTCAAATACATGGCTTTTTGTGTTAGATATCATAGTAAAAATAAAAAAAAGGGATAACAGATTTTTTGGGGATTGCTGAGGTGACTAGAACCACTGCCCAAGACTTATATAAATGTACAAAGGAATTTTTAATGGAAGTTGGCTTAAAAGTTAATAAACTTATTGGTAGGTATACTTACATATTTCCAAGACAAACCCCCTAGTATTTTTTAAGGAATACCTACCACTCATATTGGTTGATATGTTGAAGTATTTATTTTATAACATCTTTCTGTTTCTTTTAGGTATTGGAACAGATGGAGCAAGTAATCTATGTGGGAAAAATAATTCTTTGTATACTCTGTTGAAGGAAGATGTTCCTACATTACAATTGATTCCCTGCATCTGCCACTCACTTCATTTGTGTAGCTCAAAAGCTGCCACTGAACTGCCCTCGTCAATTGAATTTTTATTTCAACAGACAAGATCCTGGTTTTCATGCAGTCCTCTCCGTCAAGACGAATATGCAACCTTGTTTAAAACAATGAATGATGGAGGAAAACAATTTCATAAGTTGGTACAACTGTCAAAAACCCGATGGCTTGCATTTTCAGCTGCTGTTGAAAAGATTTTAGAGCAATGGGTTGAATTAAAAACCTATTTTTCTCTTGTAACTGGGGGGATAAGAACTACATGGCCAAAACCTTAAGCTGTATGTACAATGATGACAGCAATTTGTTATATCTGATTTTCCTAAAGCCAGTTTTGAAGCAAATTACCTCATTTTTCAAAAAGACAATCCTGAGGTAACAAAATCATTTGAAGAGTTGCGTGTTTTATTAATGCTAAATGCTCGAAAAATAATCAAGCCTTTTTTTTGAACTCTGAAAATTGCCAACTAAGAAGTGATGTGCAAATGGTAGCAGCAGCTCTTCAAAATCCGTTGGCTTTTTTATCAACCGAGAATGTGGACAATAAAATTTCATTTATACTTACAAAAAAAACCTTTCCACAGAACAGATGAATACTGTGCGCTATTGCTGCAATCAGTTTCTCATAAAACTCTGTAGGGAACTAGTTGATAGATTGCCCAAAAATTTCACCTTACTGGAATCTGTGAAACATTTTGATCCAAAATCATTCACAGCAAGTCATTTACAGCCACCTTTTAAAGACCTTCCGTTATTCTTTCTAACCAGTAGTAATAATATGGATATGATAGAAGAACAATGGCTCAAAATACCATTAATAAAATGGTTTGAAAATGAAGAGATAAACCAAAATTCATGCATATTTTGGGCTAAAGTTTACTCCTACACCGATGCTGGTGGGTCATTTTGTTTCAAGGAGATAGCCGAATTCGCATTAAACGTACTTTCTCTCCCCTACAGCAATGCTGTAGTAGAAAGGGTTTTCTCAGTAATGAATGCCATCAAAACCAAGACCAGAAATCGGATGCAGTTAAAGATGTTGTCTGCTATTTTACGAGTGAGGATTCATTTTGGAGTACAAAATATTTGTTGTACCAAATTTCAACCAACGGATGAAATGAGACGCTTATTTAATTCCAGCATCCTTTATTCTAAGTCGGCGACGGTTACTGATGACGATGACACATGTAGATCATCTGAAGAAAATGAAGATGAAGCTTTTATAAAGGTTTTAAATATTTTTGGACCAGATGATTAATAAAAACCTTATTTGTATTTGTTGTATTATACAGGGTGTTCCTTAATATCATGTACAAATGAAAAGGGGTGTTTTTTTGGCTAGTGCTAACTTAGCTTCTTGCATCTTGTCATAATAAATAACACTTCCAAATTTTCACAAAACCAGGAAAAGGATCTGTCGAGATATTATTAGAAAAAATTTTTTTAGGTAAAATTTTGACACCCTGTAGCTTTAAACCCAAACGTTTGCAGATCCATGTTTATATGAAACTTTATCCACAAAATATGTCAAAGAGCCAAAGAATCACCCGCTTTCGTTTGACATGATATTAACTAACCTAACTTTATTTTTCCTTTTACCCCACTTTTCAAAAAACAGTTTTTTTACTGCTTTTTGGCAAAATCTGCC